TCCAAGCCCTTTCAAGGCGGCACTGCACTTAGATGTGAGCCTTTGGGAGCTGGATGGGTTCTGAGGCTGTTTTCACAGTCTGACACAAAGCCCTGGCTGGACAGTGGCAGATCCACTGGCGCTGCAAGGACAGTTCAGGCGCTGCTGACCCTCTCTCAGCATCCCCTCTTCTCTCCAGCGGGTGTTTCATTTGAGAGCCGGTCCCTCCCTGCAGGCAGAAAATATGTCAGCCTTTTGTATGTGTAAACTGGGGCAGGGGCTTTGTTCAGAGTAAGAAAGCAGTACAGCAGCCAGACAAGATGTATTGCATAGCCTGACAGGTTGAACCATCCCTTCTTAAAAAATCCACAGCCTTGCCTGGGCCCCAGCAGTCATATGTTTTATTAATTTTGCCTACAAATATTTAGACAAGAAACACCATAGACACAGCTAAAAGAAATTATCACTGCGCACTTACTTCTAAAGACCTGCTTCTCTACAGGAATCACCAGTCTGGCAAGATCAACAGTAGGAGTGAAGGTGACACTGGCACACTAAGCAACTTTTCACCTGCAAGACAGGCTTTTTTCTTTTTTGCCATGGAAAGGTGTTTGAAGTTTTTTTGTCTATGTATATTTCAAAGTAGTTTTCATTCATTCATTGTAAAAAATCAATATGTAGACTCCAGTTTTACGTGTCCTTAAGCCTTCCCTTTTTATTGCTTTTATCCTCAGCAATCACTTTGTTCTTATCTTACCAGTATAGCTGCAAACAGGTAGGGTGTACATACTAGCAGCTTTCCAGTGCTCAAAGTCCTCAGTGGGCCTTATGCATGATTGTTCTTATGAAAGCCTCAACTGTTTGTCCCTCAGAAGACATCTTTGCTGCGACTCATGCATGCAGCAGAGTGACAAGAGATACAGGCTTACTATTACACACACCTAGTCTTCCTTGTATGGAGGTGGGGAGCTGTAGAGACATCTACATTCTTTGCTGTCATGCTTCACCTGTGAGTAGGGTAGGACTTTCTGCAGCAGTAGCATGGCACCTTTCTGCCTCTCCACTGCCTGTCAAGTGTAGTCGCTTCACGCAGCCAAAATTGGCGCTGGCTGTTTAAAGTCACTCTTCAGTGTATATTGAGACTCTCTTTTAGATAGATACAAGATCGCTGGCAGTGTTCAAGGCCAGGCTGGACAGGCCTTTGGGCAATCTGGTCTAGTGGAAGGTGTCCCTGCCCATAGCAGAGGGGTTGGAATCGGGTGATATTCAAGGTCTCTTACAACCCAAACCATTCTGTGTTTCTATGATTGTTTTCCCTCTGTGGCAGTGCTGACCATTGCAGTAAACAAACTTGAAAATGGCAGTGTGGTGTCATTGCCACAGGACTCCAGCCTTCACTCAAAAGGAACACACATGGAAGTCAACCCACACCAGTATTTTTCCTATATGCTCTGGGATACTAAGTTATAAAGAAATCTTCTGTAACAGCTGTGAGGTATTACAAGGAAGCAAATAGCTGTTTGCTTACTTAATGGCCATCAGTCTTGATGGCGCTCCTGGTTCCTTTATGGCTGGGGACCGAGATAAAGGTTAGCATTGACCATAAAACAATAAGCTCTTACATGTGTCTAATACAGTTGCTTGGGAACACAATGCTAATATTTTCCATGTTGACACCAGCACCTGTTCTGTCTCTTAAGCAGGGTGGCTTCCGTGCAAATAACTCTTATGCGAGCGCTCACATCAACTGGATTCCAGTTAGCTTTGTAGAGTTAAATGAGAGCAACATAGAGTGGTTAAAGAGATTTTCACATTAATTGTAAAAAGAGCATTTTGTACACATAGATGCCAAATATTCCCTCTTGTTTTATGGATTAGTGACCTTGATACCACTTGACTGTCAGTTATTACCGGGGCAGAAGGCAGCAGGAATGATTTGGAAATTGAAAGAAGGCTGCTGGTACCATGGCAAGGGGCAGCTGAGCTCAAGTACTTCACATGCAGTTTTGACTGTGCTCTCTGTGACATTTGTTAGAGTCAAGGAGCCCAGTAATAAGAGTTTATAGGGGTATCTCACTCAAATACTCATCTGATTGTTTTTACCTACTTCTCCTACTGATTGCAGTGGCACAGCCCACTAGTGTAAAACGATCACTGGATTTAACCTGATGATGGATAAACCACGACATGGCTCAAACCTCCCTACCTCCAGAGGGGATGGGGAGGCTGCTGGTCCTACATGTGTCCCCCTCACTTGGAGTATTACAGAAGACATGCTATTTTTAGCCTCTTCCATGCTGGGTGGCACAAAGGAGAAATATTAAGGTTGCAGAAAGTACCCATGTACGTTTCCAAACTGTGGTGTAAGCTAGCTCTGGGCTCCTGACTGCCTCAGGAATAGTGCTGCCAGGTGAAGCCAGGTAAACCATAGCAAGTACAAAGGCAGCAGCAAACCGCAGTCAGCTTTCCCTGCAACTGTTCCCTTGCTGAACTAACACATACCTTTTCACACCCTGTGACCGAGTTGAGGAGGAAAAGGAAGACAAATTTTGCATGTGGGTAGATTGCTGTCGTAATAAACACCTGGGCAAACTCTACAATATCCTATCATGGCTGTAACTCTGCATATGTGGCAGAGTGCCTACAAAGCCAGGAGTTTCCTGAAGTTTGTTCGTCCACCTCCAAAATGTATTCCCCAGTTCTCCCCCAAACCACCTTAATTTAAATAAATATAATGAAATCGCATATAAATGATGGGACCTCTGTCTTCTGAAAAGCACAACACAGTACAATCCTGGCTGGTGGAATCACTTTCCCTGTGTTACACTTTTCCTGGCTTAAGCAACCACCAGTTTTACCCTCAGCTGCTTACATGTGCCCCTGCATCATAGAATCATAGAATCAACTAGACCTTTAAGATCATCAAGTCCAAAAAGTCTATCTTCCCCTGCCTCATGCTGCCACAACTGCTTGCGTAGCTGGATGATGAACTAAATACAAGCACAGACCCAGATGGAAAATAGCCCAGGGGGAAAGGGGGGAGGGAGGGATTTTCCAGACAGATCAGTTCCTCCATCTCTTCTCAAATGCAGGTGTTTACACCCTGCAGCAATAGTGGGAACAAACTTATCTGGGGAAGGGGGGCAGTCAGGGCGGTGACTGTTTAAACCAGTTTTACCATGCTCACTGAATGCCAAGCCATTGCTTAGAGGAAAAAAAAAACCCAAAACCCTCAGGAAGTCCCCAGTGTAAGGAAATGGTGTGGCTGATTTCCCTCAACTCCCACCTTCATCTGTGTGGTTGTTGCTGGGGCTTTCATTCTTGTCATAAGGCCATCACTGCGTCTGTCCCTGCCTCCGCCTCTCCCCGCTGTCACCACTGCTCTGTCTTTCAAGGAACTTCTGTGGTCTGACTTGCAAAAGAAAGAGTTTCTTAGGGAATATCAAAGAGGAGGCAAGACATAACACATGAATTGCCTACGTAATATGTGACTTCTCTGTGCGAGCACAAAGTCTTCCCAGTATTCCCCTCTCCGCTTTATTCCTCTGCCAGGCTGTGTTTGGGCTGGACACTTTGTGCAGCACTGGCATGGTGCTGCAGTTTGACCCAGTAAATTGCTAAACAGTTTCATAACCTTTTCCTTTCACTGCTGGGTAGAAATGATGGGCTTTGATCAGGAGCTTGCATCACAGGGAAAATAAAAGTCGGAAACAAGTTTGTGCTACTACGTTGCATCCCTGTTTGTTGTTTTTTATTACACGTCCTTCAGGGACAGAGCGTGGCAGTACTGAAGCAATACGCTCTGCCAGTGTATGTCAGAGGGACATTAGCTGTGTCCCCTGGCAGATGCTGCAGCAATGAGCGTGCATGAGGCTGACACCGATTAGGCTGCACCACGGGGCTCCTGCCAGGCGTTTCCTAGGGCTGGGAGGGCCACAGCGGGTGCGTATCACAGCCGTGGCAGTGATTGCTACTGATGGCTGCTGGGGCTCTTCCCAGGGTAAGTCCCGTCCAAGCTTAGATGCCAGCAGCTCCTGCTGTTTTAACATGAGTTTGATTAGACTGGCGCTACAGAGGATCACTAGACAGTGCATGCATGCCAGAGGCCCTTGCTAACAGACAGGATAATGAGATCTCTTCCAGGGGCTGATCCAGAGGTATTATGAACAGGTGTTTTAGTGTCCACTTCCTCAGCCATCAGAGTGTGGTAATTTGTTCCAACAGCCTCCACAGGTTCTTGGCAGGCTTTCATGTTGCCTCTGTGTGTGTAGTGTAAAGCAGGACAGAGCCTGGCTTGAGGCAAGCTGCAGCTCCGCACTGCTTCCCGTCTCCTGGAGGGGCTTTCCTCTCCTTCTCAGCCTTTTTCTTCATTGTCCTGGGGTTTCCCTTCAAACCTGTAGATCAGGAATTAATCTACAGTTGGAACCTAGAGGCTACGCCTCTCGGTGGGGTGGGAGTCTGGCAGGTGCAATTCCGTATGTGAGGAGTTGGGGTCTTGAACGGGCTGCCGGTTAGGCACTAGCCTTTGGGAAGGGCAGAGTGTCAAGGGGGTGGCTGGCCTCCCCTTCCCATTTGTCTTGCCCTCTGCTTCTCCACTGCCCCGACAGTGCAGAGAGAGGTGGTGTCCAAAAGAGAAGGCATCAGGTGAAAGCATGGCATTGCCCTGCCGCACTCGGGTATCACCCTGCCAGCACACGGCCCAGGCAAAGCCGGGAGGATGCCTCCGCTTCAGGGTGCCGGAACGCACGGCCCCCGCGGCGGGGTGAGAAGCGCACCCTGGAGCAGAGAAAGGGGCCGTGAATGGCTGCGGTTTGGGGCTGGCTCTGAAACCGGCCCCGCCAGGCGTCCTTGCACACAAGGCAGGTGAATGCAAACACCGCCCGGGGCGTCAGCTTCCCGGAGGTGGAGCTGCTCCGTACAGGTGCCCTGCGGAGCCTGGGCAGCCCTGCTCCAAAATCAAGCCCAGAGCAGCCAGCCTTCACCTGGGTAGCGGGTTCACCAGCATAAAAGTCAAGCTGTTGACCACCTGCCGCCGCCACCACCACCATCACCACTGAGCAAGGCTGGTCATGACGAGTATGAACTGCCCAGGGAAGGAAGGTGGAGGGAGCAGGAAGAGGAATTTGGCCTTGCTGAGGAATAAGCTGTACGTGGGGGAGAGGAGGAGGACAGAGCCTGTGATGGAGAGCACGGCCGACCCTGGGGACCATAGCACCTTGAGGAGGAGTCAGTCTGACAGGACAGAGTACAGCCAGAAATTACAAGGTACCAGGGAAGCATGCTTGGTGCCTGGTTGCGAGGGATGCTCTGGGCTGGGATATCTTGATGATCTCCGGGCTACAGCCTCCAGTTAAAGAAGGGAATGGCAGTCTTTGCCCCCATGCACTCACAGTGACAAATTGTCCCCTCTCACCCTAGCCCCCCACTTCCACGGTGGAAATGCCTCCCCTATTTTTTCTAAATAATGTTGAGTAGACAGGATGTAAAATGCAATTGAAGGGTTTGGGGTGTTACTGCAAAATGTGTATGCAACCGGGATCTTTCTCATTTGTCATCAGAACGCATTTGCAATGCTAACAGTAATATGGAAATATGGTGGCTCTATCCTATCTTTTTTTGGCTGTTGTATCAAGTGGGGTATATGCTAAGTAATTAGAAGCACCAAGGGAACTTTTTCTTTCAGTTAAAAATACCATGATCTATAATATGTTTATCATTGCTCAGATTGTGCAAGCTTAAACTGAACTATGTCCAAATACATGTTTTGATGGATATGCTGATTGAAATTACACCACTATGGAGAGGGTTTCTTCCAAATAACCAAATTGCATCTGGACCCCAAATTGGTAAAGTATGTCAGTACTGGGCCTGTCAGTCAAAATTTAAATGCAATGCCACAAATTGAAGAAAAACATGAAGAGTGTGTATGGCTATTTCTGGGAGTGCTCTGGAACACAAACTGACAAGTTTCTGTGGGTTTCCAGGGTCTGGAACAACAGGGCCCCATCACAAATGGGGGGTTTGAGTACTGCTGTAATATAAATATTTATTACTAATAGTGATGTAACTGCCTCGTGACAGTCACTATTGTGGCAATAATCATTTATGGGGAGATAAAACAGGAAGATACTTTGGGTTGCTGTATTATGGTTTTGACACACTTAATTAGGAGGTAGCATTACTTCAGAGAGACAATAAAAGCAGAAAATAAAATAATAAACCTGAAAGTAATGGGATTTCTGTGGAGGCTAAGAACAACAGAGTGGCCCATTGATTATGCTGTTCCCTCCTGTGATAGCTAATCGATGAGAAGGGAAAAAATTTTAGTTAAGTCAGGCACTCGCTGCAGGTATCAGCGTGGTGTTTCTGGGTACAAACAGATTGCTGTGGCTGGTCAGGCAAGCTCCTGGCACATGTCCCACCAAAACAGTAGCTCTTTACTTGTGAAGGTGGTTGCCCAGGTGAGGTCAAGGTTATCAGAGCTGTATCCAGCAAAAAGACAGGTTTTCTGTCCTGTGTCAGCTGTATTGAAGCCATTAACGTCTCCTGTTTAAAATCTGGAGCAAAGGAGGCGGGGAAGCCTAGGTAGTCATGGCAGAGCATGAGGCTATGTTTATGGCAGCGGTCCAAGGAGAGAGTAAATCCAGCTTTACAGCTCCTGCCACCAGCTGAGGCTGCCGTGGCCACCTATTGCAAAACACGGGTCTGGTATCAGCTTGCTCTGCTTGCTCACTTATGCTCAACACAAATGGTGATGGGTTAACAAGGTACCTGCAGGCTTTATATTGGATTAGAAGTTGCCTGTCCTCAGAGTGAAAAACAAAGTCAGTAGAAATTCCTGTGAAGTGTATTTACAGTCACAATGGAAAGAAATGTGGTTGTGTGCCAAGGCCTGATCTGGATCAAGTTTTGGATCATGGATCCCAGACCTAATGTAATACCTGCCAGCAGTTTATGATGTACTATGGTTCTATGCCTTTATGTTCTTCATTTTTCTCACTAGCACTTGGATGTGAAGCAGCTGACTCCAAGGTGAGGGAAGTGGTTTTGTTGGCACAAAGCTTTTGAGTTCTCCGTTCTTGGTAAGAAAATCCCAACTGCTCTGTTGGTGACATAAACAGTTCTGCCAGGTTAGGACTCCCTGATTACCCTGGAATGGTAAATGCTTTGCAAAAAGATACACATGGTAGTAATCTACACTTGCTTCCCATATGAATTGAAGGGAAAACTCTGTGTTTAGTTTCCCCTCCATTCTTTAGTCCCCTGTTCATATGTTTTCTAACACACAGGCTGCAGAGATGTGGTAGGTATTAGCACAGATGTGGATATGTAAGCCAAGGAGGTGCAACAAGAGCAAACTTCACCAAGGGGAATCTCCTGTGTGTGGGGCAGGTTTCCACAGCAAGAATCAGAGGCTGCAGGACCTCCATCCCTGGTAATGGCAAGCAACCCTGGCTGAGCATGGGAAAGAAGGTGTCTTTACGCCCCAGTGCTTATGTCAGCATTGCAGCATGTTTGTGCATGGTGAGGCATGGTATAAACATCTCTTGAGGGCCTTCCAGCCCTTTGTGTGCTTAAAAAAGTTCCCTAAGTAGAAAACAGGCTATTTCCGCCCCACCCCCACCCTACAAACATGACCACAATAGCATTGTCAAAGGTGCAAACTTCTGTGACTGCTTTTCACTTTAAAATTAAGGATTCATTAAAAACACAAGAAAGCATTTTCATGGTTACTTATTATACCAGACACATCTATTCAATACCTTATCTGGTGTGAATGGTCATGCAACACCTCCTGGCTTTACTCTTCTTGAAAAGGAAATAAGATGCAAAGTAACCATTATATTCTCAGAGAGCTTGGCAAGCATTATTTCACTTATTTCAACTCATCCTGTGAGATAACCAATTGTCTGCAGCCCCATTTTAGATAGGGGAAAATAAGGTGATTACTATCAACTGGCAGGTTTGTGATACAACCATGCAGTCATCTACAACTCAGGTTGTAATTGCAATCCTGGATGAGTCCAGGAATACCTTGATCAAGCCATACATATATATTTTTCTTTCATAGTTCTGCATCAGCTGGACAGAAGCATCACTTTTCTAAAGAGGGAAGAATGGGGTTAAGGGAGATATATTGATTAGCATTTGTGGTGGGTGCAGAAATAACATTAAGGGTCATTGTAAGAGCTAAGACAGAGTTTCTGTGATGTTTCTATGCAGTGCTCTGCTCTACATTCACTAGGAAATCCTGCACATACATCCTTCCAAGAGGAATGAAGAACTTGCTACTATCCTTAAGCAGTGGCATAAAATGGTATTTAGCAGGTCTGTTTTCTGAAGCTGTTTAGCTGGTAGGAATCACTCTCTTTTCTACAGTGAAAATCCATCAGTAGCAGCTGTAAAAGTAACTGTAGTAATATCTATATATTACATTAATGTTGGGATCAGTCTTCGAATTAACCTAAAGCTGCCATGCTGTGAATACCTATATATTTTATTAAGAGTTGTTTGGTGTCATTATTTGCACATAGATGTTTGCAAGATCAGGGCATATTAAGATACAATGTTTCATGGGGATAGGTGTTGTCAACCAAAAAGGGCAGATCATAGTTCACAGGGACAGGTTGTTGCTATTATCCAGTGTAAGAAGGATATGGACCTTTTGGGGCAAGTCCAGAGAATGCTGCGATGGCTGGAGCACCTCTCCTATGAGGACAGAGAGCTGGGCTTGTTCAGCCTGGAGAAGATAAAGCTCTGAGGAGACCTTAGAGCGTCCTTGCAGGATCTAAAGGGGGCTGACAAGAATGTTGGAGAGGGACATTTTAGAAGGGCATGAAGTGATAGGACAAGAGGTAATGGCTTTAAATAGAAAAAGGGTAGATTTAGATTAGATATAGGGAAGAAGTTCTTCCCTGTGAGGGTGGTAAGGCACTGGCACAGGTTGATCAGAGAAGCTGTGGCTGCCCACCCCTGGCAGTGTTCAAGGCCAGGTTGGATGGGGCTTTGAGCAACCCGGTCTAGGGGAAGGTGTCCCTGCCTATGGCAGGGGGTTGGAACTTAATGAGCTTTAAAGTCCTTTCGAACGCAAACCATTCTGTAATGCTATAATTCTATGATTTTTTTTAATAATCATATACCAAACTTGTGCTTGCTGTGAAAAATGAGCTACAGAAAATGGTGGGTTTCCAGAAGGCATCAGAGATCCCATTTGCAGTGTTCAGTGTGACCATGCATACTTTGAAATTACTCCTTGTTTTACAAATCATATTAACTCCCTTATAACTTTAGCTCTGAATGGGCCAACTGTGCTGTTAAATGACTTGCACATGCTTCAGTTTAAAATACATCAGTGACATACCTGTAATAGACAGTGATTCAAATCACACAGCTGCCACAATATATTGACTCAGAGCTTGTGTCTGAACGTCAGATTTGACATTCTGCCTGTGTCTAATGTAGTTACAAAAAATAACCAACACCAAAAATGACACAAAACCCTGCAAGCTTATACAAATTCCTGGAAAGCTGCTATCCATTGGTATAGTAAAGCCCAGTCAGAAGCAGCTCATCCCCCTTCAGTCCATTACAAGCAGAGAACCTTCCTTTATCCTCTCCTCCTCCCTGCCCGCAGAGTACACCAATTTTCTTGCATGGACTGCTGATGCACACAGCTCCTTGGCATCTCCCACCAGGAGTACAGATCCTCCACACCTCTTCCCAGTTCCTTATTTGCTTTGTGCTGTACTTACTGATTAACTTTCTATGGACCACAATGCAGAGAGTATCCTATTTCACTGCAAAATGTATTGATCTTTGGGGCAGTTGATTTGCTGAAGTACAGTAGAGAGCCAAAGTCCAGATTATTTCCTGAAGTGCAGGAGATGGCTTGATGAAAATATCTGTGTGTCCTGTGATGAGAAATCACAACCTAACCAATACCTTTTTCTCCTGTGCAAATTTAAGCTCAGAGGATCTAATTCTGTTAACTTGCATGGCAATAAAGCTGCAGTTACTCCTTGAACTTACTGCAGTGGCAGCCAGGCTGGGAAGCAAGCTCATCTTTTCAGAGCAGAATCCATTTTGTGCTGCTGTGTTTGCGCACACAACCAAGTCCTTAGGCTTAGGTCTCTCAGGAGCTACTGCAGCATGACTAGTAACAGCAACTGGGTAAAAGAGTGAAGACTAGGACCCAAGGAGCTTTAAAGATCCTTCTCTGATCATATTAGCAAACATGTTATTAATTTGGATACTTTGCGTTGTGC